TCTCTCTCTCTGTCTTTGTCTCTTTCTCTCTCTCTCTTTCTGTCTCTCTCTCTCTGTCTCTGTCTGTCTTTGTCTCTCTCTCTCTCTGTCTCTCTCTGTCATTGTCTCTTTCTCTCTCTCTTTTTGTCTCTCTCTCTCTGTCTCTCTCTGTCTGTTTCTCTCTCTCTGTCTCTCTCTGTCTGTTTCTCTCTCTCTGTCTCTCTCTGTCTTTGTCTCTTTCTCTCTCTCTCTTTCTGTCTCTGTCTCTCTGTCTCTGTCTGTCTTTGTCTCTTTCTCTTTCTCTCTCTCTCTCTCTGCTTCTCTCTCTCTCTCTCTCTGCCTCTGTCTCTCTCTCTCTCTCTCTCTCTCTGTCTGTCTCTGTCTCTGTCTCTCTCTCTGTGTGTTTTCTTAGAGATTCTTTTGGTGGGCTGTTTGCTGATAGCTCTTTGGCAGTTCCTTGATTGGGGTATCATTGACTTGATCGTTGGTCTGACGTTAAACTTGGTGTTTAATCTGTGCTGATCTGAGTGTTGATTGCTGGTGGAAAGATGCTGGAGTCCTTTTTCTCTTTTGGGCTGGTTGATTGTCTCTTTTGCATAGTCTATAGATGTTGTTAGTGTCTGGGGAAAGCCAGGGGATTTCTACAAGCCTGGCACTCCGACAAATCAGCCATCAACAGACACATAGACAGGAACAACATCTACAGATTATGCACGAGAGGCAATCAACCAGCCCAAAAGGCAATAAAAAGACTCCAGCAGCAGCTCTCCGCCAGCAATCAGCAATCAGGTTAGCATAGATTAAGTGCAAAGTTACCTTCAGACCAACAGTCAAGGAAGCAATAAAGAAACTGCCAAAGAGAGCCATCAATAAACAGCCCAACCAAAGGACTTCTAAGACCGCCCCAAATCCACAAGACAGGCAAGACCTCCAGGATATCAATGGATAGCAAACAGCACTCCTTTCTAGCCCTGATGATATGACCTAGTTGGGTCATGAAACGTCTGCAAGAAAACAACCAAGCTCAGAGAGCATCAAGGACCCCTTCGTGTCAACTCTGAGCTCCAAATTTTCTCCGTTATTGGCGACTTTCCATTGCTAGTGGCGCAGCAGTTCGAGGGTGGTACTGCAGGCGACTTCTGCTGACTGCCGGCTGGCCTGCAATTTGGCAGTTTGAATCTCACCAGGCTCAAGGTTGACTCAGCCTTCCGTCCTTCCGAGGTGGGTAAAATGAAGACCCAGATTGTTGGGGGGGGCAAGAGGCTGACTCTGTAAAACCGCTTAGAGAGAGTTGTGAAGCACTGTGAAGCGTATAAGTCTAAGTGCTATTCCCTTTGTGATCCCAGGACAACCCGGTCTGTTAAGGCCGAAGGGGCTCCACCCTGGTCAGTGAATCTTTCTTTCATGAAGGTTTTTCAGTGAGATACAGGGAGTATCTTGATATATGACCGGCTATTTAGCCACCGTTCAAAATTATGACGGTCCCTCCCCAAAAACTATGACTCAGTTCTGACATTCTGACAGCCTCCGTTTCCCGAGGTCAAATGACTGCATTTTGAGCACTCGGCAGCCCTTATTTACGACGGTAAGACTGTGTTGCAGTCATACGTAGAGGATTACCGATACAACGATGGCATTCGCTTTAATGACAGACCCCCCCACCAAAAAATAGATTATAAAATCAGATCTAGTCACGGCTTACAACCATAACGGCCAGGCACTTACAGCCGTAAGTTGAGTATTATTAAATACGCATCATGCCACTATGTGTTTCAGGGCCCACCAGGTTGGATGAAGAGATGGAGAAAAAGATCAGAGGAGAATATTCGTTAGCTCGGGATCGAAATGAAGGTGTCCTTGGTGTTTTCTGAGCTTGGTTGTTTCCTTGCAGATGATTCATTACGAGGGAACATCGTCAGTGCTAGAAGGGAGCGGGGTTCGCACGAGGAAAGAGGAGGAGGAGAAAGACTTTGAGGGCCTTGGCGCGCTGTCGTGTTTTGTTTTCCTTAAGGACGTTTTGTCGCCCAACTAGGGAACATCATCCGTGCTAGAAGGGAGAGGGGTTTGTGGAGAGGAGGAGGAGGAGGAGGAGGAGGAGGACTTCGTGCTCTTTGAGCTAGGTTGTTTTCTTGCAGACGTTTCTTTACCCGACTAGGTAACATCGTCAGTGCTAGAAGGGAATGGGGTTTGCAGGATGGAGGAGGAGCGGAGGGGGGGGGAGGAGGAAGAAGGGGAGGAGGAGGAGAAAGACTTTGAGGGCCTTTTGTGCTCTCTCATTGTTTGTTTTCCTTAAGGACGTTTCGTCGCCCAACTAGGGAGCGTCATCAGTGCTACTAAGGGGAGTGGGGTTTGCTCGCACTTTACCTTCTAGCGGCTTGCTCTGTCAGTGTAGGTGGGAGTGATCCAAGGAACCCACCAAAATAAAATTTTACTTTGTTGGGTAATAAAAACACCACCAAGATCAGGATGTCTATGGAAATTCTCCATCCTTCCGGTCACGGTTGCTCCAAAGTTCAGCCCAGAATGGAAGAAGGGTGAGAAGCGAAACGTTTTCAAAGAAGAAGAAAAAAGAAAACCAAGAAAGAGTCCAGTGGCCTTTTGGAAAACGCCCCTGGGGGACTCCCAACTCCGATTGGAGCATGGAGAGAGATCCCATCTCTAGGGGGAGCCTCAAAGCCACCCTGGAGGAGAAAACGGGACCTCTCAGTGCCCCGCAGGTTCCACCCACGAGGTTCGACAACAAGGAGAACCACCTACGCTGACTTGTCCACTTCCTGACGGATCTTCTTCACCGACAGCTTGATGTTGAACCGGATGCTGTTGAGGATGTTCTTGAAATAGGTTTTCTGGTGGACTTCGAACTGCAGAAGACACACGTCTCAAGACACATGCAAAGGTTTAAGGAAGAACCTGAGGTTCAGGATAAGATAGGGTAGGGCAGGGCAGGGCAGGGCAGAGCAGAACAGAGCAGAGCAGAATAGAATGAATGAAAATAATAGCACAGAATATAGAAAATGAAGAGAATAAAATAGAATATAGAAAATGAATAGAATAGGACTAGAATAGAATAGAATATAATAGAACAGAATATAATAGATAATAGAATATAATAATATAGAGTATATATATATAATAGAATATAATAGAACAGAATATATAAAATGAATAGAATAGAATAGAATAGAATAGAATAAATGAAAATAATAGAACAGAATATATA